CTTCCTGTATCCTGTTGTACAAAACCCTCACCACCTCAGCAGCTCTGAACTCTGATCTCTGCCTTCTCAACTCATGAAACTGCCACTCAATGAGACAGCCTCTCTGTACCACAGTCCAGAACCTGACCCCACAGACAGAACAGGTGGATGTGGGGACTCAACTTTTGTGTTTTTCTTCTCTGAAGGATCAGTTCTGCACTGTCTGAAGTGTAATCCAGTGTTTAAAAGCAGTTGCTTTATATATTTTATACAGCGTTATAATTATTTATGGCAGAAAGTTAAGTCCACTGCCAGGTACTGTGTCATGGCCAAAATCATAAGTCCTATACCACAGTTTTAAGTCATAATTATGATGAAGATTTTGTAGTATATAGAAAAATGTATGTGTGTTTGTTTATGTAGCTATGTAATAAATATGACTTCGTAATAGAATTAAGAAGTACTGAAATAGTTTTAGGCTGAAAGTAATAAACTCTATTTTTTTCTTTAACCCAAGAATAAATATGTTCTTTCTAATTCCCTACTCATCTACTACATTTGTTGAATTTGTCAAATATCACTGTCATATAGAACAAAATTATGTTCTATAGTGAGGCCATCACATACATAGTAAATGAAAAAGACAGAAAAATAGTTTATATTGGGTTATTTGGTTTATATCTGAATATTAAAAGTTATAACAGGAAGTAACACCACATTCAGCAGAATTTTCTCTAGGTAAGATTATCAAAAACTTTAGTATCCAGGTTAAATAATTGGGGTGTGTGTGTGTTTTAACTTTTTCAAATCAAACCAAACATACAATTATTTAGATTACTATTGCCATAAACTAAAAGCTAAATCAAAGAAACATCATTCAATTGTACTATAGATATGGAAGGAAGAGGAAATATATATGTAAAATATATATACAAACAAATTATAGGACATGTAAAAATTTGTCTTACTCAAAAATCTTATTTTTGAGTTTTTTCTCAAATTCAAATTTTCATGAAAAGCATATTTTGCATTTTCTGCTCAGTTTTCTTTTTTATATATCCTTTTTAAAGAAAACCTTACTTCCTTTGTATTATGAGGGTTGATGGCTTTTTCCTCAAGAAGGGTAAAGTTTTAAAGATGATTGTTATGTAGCTTAAACGTAGAGTACAGGTTTTACATATAGTTTTTAAAAAATTATCTCTAGTTGAAGCTGCTTTACAATATTAAGGAAATTAAAGATATTTCTTTCTTACTCCTATTCAAATGTAATTCTTTTTAGTTCACCACTTGGAATCTTCACCCAGTGAGTATATAATTTTAAAATGTTGTAATTATAATACATATATAATTTGGCCGGGCTCATCCCTGTAATCCCAGATCTTTGGGAGGCCAAAATATGTGGATTGCTTGAGCCTAGGAGTTCAAGACCAGCCTGAGCAACCTGGCGAAACTCCATCTCTACAAAAAACACAAAAATTAGTCAAGTGATTGGGTGCAGTGGCTCACACCGGTAATCCCAGCACTTTGGGAGGCAGAGGTGGGCAGATCACCTGAGGTCGGGAGTTC